TTGCTCAAGCAGACGGTGCAATAAACACCAACCCTAAACCCTCCATTTATTTGCCGTGTGATCCATTTTAATACGCATACATTTAGCTAAGGGACCTAAACTACAGGTCCTTTAGGCAGCCCTTGTGAATGATGCTACTGTCTCCATTACTCAGGAACATTGTGAAGTGCACTAGCATCTCGTGGGTCGATGTTTGTTGCCAAATGCGTACCGCTGCCTTTAACTCTTTCGCTACCACGGGAAAAAGGGCAGTTCTTACTAGGTGGAAGGAAATATTTTTTGGTGCAGATTCACTAATGCCTTATTTACATTGTTTGGTATCAAAATGTAGTTAAAAGAATTTTCTATTCGATAACATAAATGCTGCATATACATTTATTGCACAACATAATAAAAAAATGTTTTGATGTAAAACTTTATACAGTGAGGATGTTGTTCTGCTTGACAAAGGTGGACAACTCTAAAAATATCAAGAGTGAAAAAATTTCAAGATATGCATTCTGTAGCTTATTATGCTGTCGGCGGTGTGTTCGAAAGCGCCGGAGAAGAAAAAGGAACGTCCAGCTCAGAGCTTTGACAAAAGGCATATATTCTGTTATTTCGCGCGGCTCCCGAGGCCACGCGGTAGCGTGAGCTGGCGCGCTCACCGGCACTGCGCCCGGCGCAGTGGAGCCTCGGTTGTTTAATCTAGAACAACGTTCACTCGGGTGTTTTCTACAACCCGTGTGGTTGTGGCAGCTGTTGGCTCTGCTACAGAATCCCCCCCCTAGTGTCGTGGAACAACCCGTGTGGTTGTGGCCCACGTCACGGTACTTTGGGGAGTCGGTGATTTGGCGGAGGCTTTTACTTGAGTGGGTGTGACGGCTGATGGATGGTGCAGGAGCACAGGGTCCGTCAGAGAAGAGTCCAAGTAAGCGGGTTTCACTCGATCGAGTGTGACAACGTCATGACGACCATTGATGTTGACCGTACAAGTTTTGTCGGTGCGTGAAATGACTTCGAATGGTCCGTCGTACGGGGGAATGAGAGGTGCGCGTACTGTATCCCGTCTCACGAATACGTGAGTGCACGTGTCCAGATCTTCACTTATGAAAATCTGTCTCTGTGTTTGTTGTCTTGGTGAGACCGGCCGTAGAGAAGTGAAGAATTTTCTCATCTCTTCAAGGTATGAAGGCATGTCAGGCTGTGCGGATGGTGTGCACGTAAAGAAATCTCCTGGTAATCGAAGTGTAGTGCCGTAAACCAGTTCGGCTGAGGTGCAAGTTAGGTCCGTCTTGAAGGTGCCGCGAATTCCAAGGAGAACGAGAGGAAGATGGTTCACCCAATGGTTTCGATCTTCTCTAGTCATGAGTGCCGTCTTCAGTTGGCGATGTAGGCGCTCAACCATACCATTTGCGGCAGGATGGTACGATGTCGTGTGTATGTGGCGCGCGCCCAAGATGTTGGTGAGGGCCTTGAAAAACGCGCATTCAAATTGTCGGCCACGGTCGGTCGTGATGATGGATGGACAACCGAACCGTGAGATCCAGGTGGTGATGAATGTGTGGGCAACGGTCTCTGCTGTGATGTCCTCGAGTGGAACAGCTTCAGGCCATCGCGTAAATCTGTCTACACATGTCAAGATGTAGCGAAATCCGTTGGATGATGGTAGCGGGCCCACGATGTCTATATGTACATGATCGAATCTGGCATCCGGCGGTCGAAATGGGTGGAGCGGTGTCTTTGTGTGTCGAGACACCTTCGAGCGCTGGCATTTGCAGCAAGTCTTCGCCCATAGACGGATGTCTGCGTTGATCCGGGGCCAGATGTATCTTGATGTAACTAGGCGTTGTGTGGCCCGAATTCCCGGATGACTGAGGTCATGCAGAGCGTGGAAAATGGCCTGACGAAATTTCGGAGGGATGTAGGGTCTGGGTGTGCCAGTTGACATGTCGCAAATAATCTCACAAGTGGCGAGTGGCAATGTAATGGACTGCAGCTTGAGAGATGTTGATGACGTGCGTAGCTTTTGCAGTTCGGCGTCTTCCTGTTGGGCCAAGGCCAATTCCGAAAAATTGACAACGGGAGACGGGGATACATTTCCAATGCGAGATAGTGCGTCTGCTGGCGTGTTGGCAATACCGGCGACATGGCGTAGATCTGTAGTATATTCTGCAATGTAAGCAAGGTGTCGAATTTCTCTTGCAGAATAAGAGTTGTGGTTTCCGGCGAATGAGTAGGTGAGAGGCTTGTGGTCGGTCATCACGTGAAACACTCGGCCTTCCAAGAAGTACTGGAAGTGACGAACTGTTGCGTAAACTGCAAATAGTTCGCGTCCGAACGTGCTATAGCGTGTCTCCGCCGGGGTGAGTTTCTGAGAGAAAAATGCCAGTGGGAGCCACTCATTGTTGTTTTGTTGTTGCAACACTGCTCCTACTGCAACTTCCGAAGCATCAACCATGATGCGCGTTGGAGCGTCATTTCGAGGGTGCACCAAAAGTGTGGCGTCGGCAAGGGCATTTTTTACAGCGGTGAAAGCCTTTAGTGCGCTGTCTGACCATGGTATTTCTGTGGAGGGTTTCTGTTGGCCACGTAGCAAGTCTGTCAGAGGTTTTATAGCTTGTGCGCAGTGTGGAATAAATCTTCGATGAAAGTTTATGAGTCCAAGAAACTCTCGCAGCTTCCTCAAAGATTTTGGTTGGGGGAAATCTCGGATCACTTGTACCTTGGACTGGAGAGGTTCGATGCCAGCAGGTGTGATGTGGTGTCCGAGAAATTCCAAAGCCGTTGCCCCAAAGGTACATTTTGCCACATTGATGGTCAGTCCGTATAGGCGGAGTCGTTCAAAGGTAAGGCGTAGATGTTCGTTGTGCTCTTCAGGTGATGCGCTCGCAATCAAGAGGTCATCCACGTAGGCGAAGATGAAAGGAAGTCCATGAAGGACTTCGTGGATGAACCTCTGAAAGGTTTGCGCGGAGTTGCGCAACCCGAAGGGCATACGGACATACTCAAAGAGGCCGAAGGGGGTGGTGATTGCCGTCTTCGGTATATCCGCAGGTTCTATTGGGATGTGGTGATACGCCTTCACCAAGTCTATCTTGCTGTAGATAGATGTGCCATCCAGGTGCTGTGTGAAGTCGTGGATATGAGGCAATGGGTACCGATCGGGCTGTGTTTGATTGTTCAGCGCTCGGTAGTCCCCACACGGCCTCCAGTCTCCCGGATCTTTCTTGGGGACCATGTGGAGGGGTGTGGCCCAGGAACTCTTTGATGGTCGGATGATGCCGAGCTCCTGCATGTGCTCGAATTCTAGTCGGGCTACGCGGAGGCGTTCGCCCGATAGACGACGAGGGCGAGCAAAAGTGGGTGGGCCAGACGTGACAATATGATGTGTCACTCCGTGTGGTGGTATCTCTGATATGTTAGACGTCTTCGTGATCTCTGGAAATTCCTTTAGGATATCGGCAAAACTGGAAGCCGGCAGGATGTTTCGAATGCCAATTGAAGTTAAGTTGGTGAAGGCTCCATTGACCGCAAGGCGAGTTCTGTTGTCAGTCAGGCGACGGTGGTGCATACTGACATCCAAATCAAAGTGGGAAAGGAAGTCAGAACCTAAGAGTGGGTAGGTCACATCGGCTATGACAAAGATCCATCGGAAGACTCGGCGTAATCCCAAATCTAGGGTCACTGAGCGCATTCCGTATGTTAAAATATTGGATCCGTTTGCCGCAACGAGGTGTGATCCGGGCTGTGGGTGTCGTCTTTCCGCTAGTGTTGGAGGAAGGACGGACATTTCAGCTCCGGTGTCGACCAAGAAGCGGCGGCCTGAAATGCGTTCTGTGATGAAAAACAGACGGCTTGCTGTTGGGCCTTGGTCACTTGCCGCCTCTAGTGACGGGCCGGAGCGTTTTCCTGCCAGTTGCATGGTTGTTCGCACTTGCGTGCCCTGCCGCCGAATGTCTGGTGGTACCAACAGGTACCGCCTTCTCGTCGTTGCGATGAACTGCGACGTCGAGATGATCTGCGCCTTCTTGGTTCACGCGATCTGCTTCTCGTGCTAAGGGCCGCGACGCTTGCTGTTAAAGCGTCAATGCGAGCTTCGAGGGCTCGGGTGGAGGAGCACTGGTGTGAAGTGTCCACGACGCTCGACAGGCTAGGTGTAGCGTATTCGGCGACGCGATCGGCCATCTCTGCGAGGCGGTCAAGACTTAAGTCTGCAGCTGGGGCGAGGGCCATGCGCATCCCTTGGGGCAAGCGATGGAGGAACAATTCCCGTAAAATGGGATTGTTTGCGTCAGATGCTTGCTCACCCAGCAGTTGCCGCATGCGGTGAAGCAGCTGGGATGGTCTACGGTCGCCCAGCTCTTCAGTGTTCAAGAGCTGCTGAAGCCGCGATGTCTCGGACTCCGTCTTTCTGGCGAGGATTGTGCGCTTGAGGTGGTCGAAAGCGTCGTCAGGAGGTGGCATTGCCAGTATGTCGTCAAGCTCATCAGCCAGTTCTGGGGGGAGGGCCGACACGACATGATAGTAGCGTGACAACTGGGTGGTGATGTGCCGCAAGTGGAACTGTGCTTCCACTTGGGAAAACCAGGCCCGTGGATTTTTCGCCCAAAAGACTGGAAGGCGGAGCTGGACGGTGGTGGTCAAGCCTGCGTCGTCGGTGGAGTTGCCGGCGCTCTGGTTCATTGTAGTCGGACGTCCGGGTCACCAATTTGTCGGCGGTGTGTTCGAAAGCGCCGGAGAAGAAAAAGGAACGTCCAGCTCAGAGCTTTGACAAAAGGCATATATTCTGTTATTTCGCGCGGCTCCCGAGGCCACGCGGTAGCGTGAGCTGGCGCGCTCACCGGCACTGCGCCCGGCGCAGTGGAGCCTCGGTTGTTTAATCTAGAACAACGTTCACTCGGGTGTTTTCTACAACCCGTGTGGTTGTGGCAGCTGTTGGCTCTGCTACAATGCCATAAAATGATAACACAATTTTCAGAGGGTATTGCTGAAAACTGTTCTTTGCGCAAAAAAAAAAGTTAGCGTGGGTGTGTGGCGTGCCATCCTCCAAAGCAGTCCCTCGTTGGGATGAAACACAGATACACACCACACGGCTCACAAAAAACTGCAGTCTTCCTTTCGACCTTCTTTTTCTCGTAGCAGAGCTTGCAGTTACGGCGCTTTTCTTGCACCTGGGGCTTGTGCTCAGACTTCTTTGGAGGAGGCGGAGGGTGAACATGTCTGTCGTCCATCCCGAAAATCTGGTTGACCAGCTCAATACGGAATGCGAGCTGGTCAAAGCCAGTCTTTCTGGTGAGCTCCTCTATCTCGGGGTGATGTTCCCTGTGTCCTTGGAAGATGACAAAGCTGTTGACGACATCAATGTCAATGCAGTGGAAGAACAGTGTCTTCCACCACCTGACACACTTCATCAAGACATTGTAAGAAGCGATAAGTTGATCGGACTTGTCAACACCAAGCATGCCCTTATTATAGTCTTCTATTATGAGTGGCTTCCTTATGGGGATCCTTGTCCATCGGTCTCCTCTCTTCACTTTTCGCATTGCACTGACGTGATTGTTGGCAGTGTGGGCTGTGCTCATCATGTTTACAGTGCGCTTGTCTTTCCATTGCAAATACAGCACATCACGGCACCGCAGCCAGCGAATGTCCCCTCGAGTTGCTCTTTTCTCCCAAGTGGTGTCTTTCAACTGGGAGGAAAATCCGCGCCGATCTTTGCGCGTTGTTCCACAAGAGAGAGTCTTCCTCTCAAGAAGGTGTTCAAAGAGGGAGGTGGATGTGTAGAAGTTGTCAAGGTAGATAATGTAGCCTTGATCCAAATATGCATCACACAGGCGCGTTACAACGTCATAAGCCAGTCCCTTTGAGCTGGGTGTTTCTCGCTTCCCGGTGTAAACGCTAAATTGCACAGTGTAGCCTGTGCTTGAGTCAGCAAGGACCCACAGCTTGTACCCCCATTTGACCCCCTTGTCACGCATATACTGGCGTATTCCCGATCGTCCTTTTGATTTGACCATTCGTTCATCCACGCACAAATTTCGGTATGGCTGGAAATGCTGACATGACACGTCATTCATATGTTGCAGCAGATGTGTGATCCTGTGCAGCTTGCCATCGCGGACAGCGTCAGTCTTCTCCGGGTCCATGACACTGAGAAAAGCAAGAAACGCAAAAAATCGGCTTCTGGCCATAATCTTTGGAAGAATGAGGCCGGAAAATAACTCCGAGGTATTCCAGTATAGATGGAGGCGAGGCAGTTCCACAATTCCCATGTAGATCAGGACTCCTATGCACTGCATCACTTCATTGGGACTGAACATTTTCCATGAGCCGTCCTTTTCTGCGTACGTTTGCCTCTCTAAAATATGCGCCCACGCATATTTGTTTGTGTTCTCACAGATCATGTTGATTAGCTCTGCGGTGAAGAAGAGTTGGAAGACATCGACGGCCCGGACGAACCGCCGTGCGCTACTCCGGACCGCGCCGCCAACTTTGACTCCCGGGTTTCGTTTAGGAAAAAACTGTACGCGCTTCACAGCTGCTGGCAAGGAATCATGTCCGTATGACGTTGAGACCCTGAAAATAAATAATATAGCTGTGAGTACATGCTCCGCCGGTCATAACTATTTATTAGTAATCTAAATGTGCGCCCCACATAGAGCTGACACTCACCCGCTGGATGTTCCGGCTTGAGTTGGTGCATCCTCGTCATCGGTGCTGAAATCTGATGTGTCCACATCATCTTCAGTCTCACTACTGCTGATTGCATCCGCAAAATTGGCTCCTAAAGAGCTCGAAAGGCCAGAAGCACGACATCTTTTGGGAGCGCGCGCGCACGATGACGACGCCATGATCGAAGCGCTCGCCCGTCAAAGCTAAACTTTTTGCGACGCGGGGAGGAGCGCCGCAAAGCAGGAAACTAACAAAACATAGCGGAGCACGTTGTGTGTTTCCCACTTTCTAACCTAGATGGCGCTAGGCGCCCGTAAACCGCGCGAGCGCGCGAAAATTTGAACTGGAAGTGTGTCGATCAAATTGATCGATTTGAATAGGCGCGGTAGCGAAAGAGTTAGACGCCATTCCCTATCGTTTCTCTTTTCCCCCTCAGAAGGGGTAAATTCTAGTGGAGGTGGTCCTTCGTGCATATGAAAAGTTCTGAAAATTCTGGGAAAAACAATGCCTCTTGACCTTGGACTTGTCATACTATTCAAAGTGCAAAACATTTTCAAAGCAGAATCTAGGAAAAGCACGAGTGACTCTGGCTTGACTGGGCATTTGAAAATTTTTAGTGCCAAAAGATTGAAGATGCAAAAAAGAAGAAAAATAATACTTCCTGTGGATACACAAAGGAACATAGTTCATTTCGTTTCAGCATGTCCAAAACGTGGAGAAAAAAAAATCACTTTGCCATGGTAAGTTTTGTTTCGCTATTGGTTTACTGCAATTGTTGTAATGCAACAAAAGTTGATTGGCAAACGAAAAACCCTACATACCGTAAAACAATGCAATGTTGCAACACAACGTAGCAATACAAAAAGAAACTCAGTGTTGGGACGATAACATCGAACACAATATCAATACGAAGTTACCGATGGTGGGATACAGCATCGAACATGTTATACAATATGAGGTTGTTGCTCTTGGACACAACTTCGAACACAATATACAATACAAGGTTACGGTGTTGGGACCCAAATTGAATGTGATATGTGACAGTGTCGGTTTGCACGATAAAATGAGGGTGAATAGGTTTGGCAGGTCAGGTGCATGCAGTTGCTTCTTACGCTCACATCTATCGATATTGACCCACCTTTCTGGGTAATCCTACGTCGTACACAAAATCCACGACAACATACGAGCACATTTCACCCACCACTCTTCGTCATCTGTTTCGCGAGATTCACATGACTGGAGGAAAAACGATGCAACGAACTATCGCCCGCAGCCGTGGCAAAGCCAGAAAACATTTTGCGAAGTGATGCAGGAACTAAAAATCAAATATCACAATCGAAAGATCTTCTGATATATAATAATCACACGATTTGCATGGTTTATGTTTTAGCTTCGTCTAATCGTCCACCTATGTGGCCATGTTTGGCTTGGCAACTGAGCCGTTGAGCGCCGACCATAAGTGAGCGCCACAAAAAGTATCCGAGTATGAAAAAAAAAATACTTAAAAAAATTTGAAAAAAAAAAAACAGGTTTTTACTTTTTTGTTTAGTGGAACATTTTAATGTTTCACAAACTTGCGTTGCTGCTGGCCACAATGGCAAACAGATACAGAATTTATATCAAATATGGCCGCTTACTCAACCAACTTTCCTAGCAGCATCAGCACCGTGGTTGTTATCGAATTATGAGTCGGATAACTTTTGGGCAGCTGTATACTGTGGTTACATGTGCTCTGTCTCTGGTGCATTATTGTAAGCTGTGTAAGCAGCAGCTAAAAATAAACCAGTCGAACGACCGGTTGAACACAACGTTGGAATGCTGTAGTCAAGTGGCCGCTGATAACCCGGTCGCATAAGTGTTTCGTTTGTAATACATTAATAGGAAACAATCCGAGGCTTTGATAGGATCTTTGACCTGCATCATAGTATTAACCATGTTGAAATTAACCTGAGACTGGGGAAGAGAAGAAACATCAAACTGTAGAAGGGACAGAACTCGGCTAACTCGTTTATTTAGTCCACTTCCTTATATAGTTTCAATCTCAAGGTCATCTCCACGAACAGAGAAGAACAAAGTCTATACAGTTCAAGTGCCACAGTCTTCATCGCACAATGCAAGAACATTGACAACCTTTACAGGTCGACGCGATAAGGCAACATCCATCCACCTTCAAACTTGAACAAAAGGATCTCTTCCCCTACTTTTCTAAAAACACAGTTCGTACTTCTGAATCATAACACGCCCTCCCCAAGAAAACAAAAAAAAAACACTGAAACAGTAGTTGGGCCAATTCACGTTGAGAACCACACAAAGTAAAAATGTTTTACAGGTCACTGGACTACAGGGGTGGAAATAGCCTAGCTCGTCTAAGCAGGTAGGTTTTCTGATAGTCGAAAGGAATAACATGTTGCAATTCAAAAATTCAGTGTGAAATGTCGACGGTTGTGTTTTATTCATTAAGTAAAATTACACATATGTATTAGGCATCAAATTACATAAATCGCAGAAGACAGTGTGAGCATCATCTATAGTTTATGTACCAAAAAGTCTTAATGAAACAAGAAAAACGAAACCAGCATGTTTGCATTCCTTTATAACCATGACACACATTTTATAACCAATTTATACATAGAAATATCACAATGCAACTGAAAAATAAGGGCACTCCTGTACTGTTGGTGAAATAAAAGAACGGTCAAGCTTTTTGAACATGTTTATAAAATGATAATAAAACAATATGCTGTTTAGAACCGACCCCTTAGGATCAACTCGCACAAGAGAATCTGCTTGCAAACATATCCTACATAATTTAGGGGCCAAGATTTTAATTCGAAGGGCATGAGTGCCATAAAGACATACGATTGATGTGTTTGCAACATGTTAGGCTTTGCTTTATTCTTCCTACATTAAAAAGCTTCCTACATTAAAATAAAGTACTTCCTACATTAAAAAAAAGTGCACCTTACAATTTTTTTAAATTTTGCAAAAAGTTTTGGAGGTGAGGTAAAAAAAATTGACACAAACCTTAATATGCGAGTGCTAACACAACAAGAGGACCTGGCACATCCCGGCAAGGATTGAAGATTCATTTAGACGTGCAACCGAAATATCAGTTTGCCGGATCTCTACTTAATTCCCCTCCAGCCTGCTAGGGAGTGGAACCTTCTTTCTCCTTCAAGACGAGGTATCTACCGTCGACATTAGTGTCAGCACAAGCTGCCCGGTTAAGTTTTGTTATGAGGTAATGTGCAGCCTCTATACCTACTGTAAGATACCGGGCAAGCGTGCACTCAAATTTTAGAGAATTGCAAAAAAAATAGGGGATGGGCACGTGTCCGGTCATCAATCTTGCATATAACTGTACTGTGCGTATTTTCAAAGATCTTACAAACCTGGAAATGGGTGCTTAGTGGGGAATGGGCATGCAGATATGCGGTATTCCTCGGTAATGCTACCTGCATGCACCCCTACTTCCCACCGCACTTGTTACAAAAAATTTTAAAACGAGAAAAGATCTAATAGAAAATTTTAAAGATCTAAAATGGTTAACAAGGTTGCAAAAAAATTAATTTCCTTTACGTTCGAGCCAGAGGCACCCAACATCACTGGCATCAATCTCAATGACCTTCTTGGATGACCACTTTTCAACTTTTTTTATGTGAGTGGTGCCGAATGAGAGAGAGGAAACATAGTCCCTAGACACTATGAAGACTCTCTTTATGTTACTACAACTCACTGAGACAATGTGCTGCATCTTTGCACACACATTGTTCGGCAGCTTTACTGCTGTGCAGTCAGTCCTGTGTGGCCTCTGGTACTGCTGGCTGTGGAACACACGCCCAGAGATGCATACTCTGTCATGTTCAACAACAGGGCCTGTGATCTGCTCAGCAACTTGCCTCTCAACCAACCTAAGCAAATGTCCTTCTACAAGTCTTGACTTGCCAAGGAGGGCTACTGGCTCTTCCTTAGGTGTACCACACTGGAGAAAGTCCTTAATGCGAGGGCTGGCCTCTGCCTTGCACGCATTGACTTTGTGGGCCATCATGCGTGTCATCACTTGGTGAGGTACACCCTTTGCCGACGTGACTAGGCTTAAGTTTCCCCATGCTCGCTTCAAAAGCGAAGCATGAGTGTGCCCAGAGCGGCCCTTGCAGTACAACACTTTTTGCAAGATGAAGCAACTGATGCACATTTCACATCATCTCTTTCTATAATAAGATAAAGAAATTGGATGCCTAGAACAAATCGCACCAGGCAGTCCGGGCTGTTGCTAATGTCGGCCGTAGATACCTCGTCTTGAAGAAGCAGGGAGATGCCCCGCACTAGCAGGCTGAAGTGGGTTAGGTAGCGGTCAGGCAAAATGCCATCTGTGCACGCCAAGCTAAAGTAGAGGAGCCATTGCTGCCATTCAACAGCCTTCCAGTACTTCCTCAGCTTGACAGATCTAGGCACACGTGCCATGCACTGTGGGGGCTTGATGTGACAGAGCCGCTCATCATTCTCTTTCTGGAGTTGTGGCGATCCAATGTAGTAGGCTGCCCCAACATTGGAGAGCCACAACTCTAGAAATCGGCGTGTCACACCAAGCAGCACACAGTGCATTTAGTCCGGGCTGAAGCTCCATACAATGTTTAAGCCAGGTAAGTTGATCAAGGGT